AAGGTGCTTGACTCTTTCTCCAAGTGGTATATCTCGGCGTAATGACGGGTTGGTAGGATCACCCTTACCATCAGGAAATAATGTTGGGAAAGCAAGTGTTGCTAGAAAGGGAGTGAGGTACTCATTCATTGGTTCATTATCTACTGTTGGCCAAGGCATTGTAGCTTGGTGACACAGTTGTTGCTGGACAGCATCTATTTCTTGTGCTTGACAATCAGGGATAGGTAGAAAACTACTCATTTCCGTGCCCTCATTATAAACAATGTCATCTTCATTTTGAGGACCCAAGTCAGGCTCACATGCAGCAGTCTCATCAATATTTTCGGTTTCAACTGAAAGAAGATCATGTGGAACACCATCTTCTGGTAAAGAATTTAAAGAATCTTGATTTATGTTTATGTCCTTGTAGTGTGGGTTATTATTGATAAGCCATTTCAGTGCATCAGCTACATTTTGTCTTCGTACTGTCACATCTTTAAAACTGTTGTCTTTACCTTTTTTTAACAACAATAACAGATAAATCCTTTGGGTATCTAGGCAGAGAATGTGCTAGTTCAGCTATATTCTGAGGCAAATTGATAACGTGGCCCGAATAGCCCCTTTGTCCACCAGGTTTTATGTAAACACGCATAATAGGGAGTGCACGTGCAATAAGCATTTCTTCTACTTGGGTTAATCCTAGCAGTTGTAAAGGTACTAATGATGGCAACATGTCATTTTCCTTGGAAAATTTCTTTGGTTGTTGTTTATCTCTTGGGCACCTTTGACACTGGTAATGGTTTGCCCTCCTTGGGTTGGATTTCAATGGCCATGCTTCAAAACACACAGTGCATTGAGAAACTGAAAACTCATTGGACTTATGAAAAATGTTCATGTTATTTTGTGCCTGTTTTTGTTCATGAATTGGATTGGCACAACTTTTGTTTTGTCCATCGGAAATTGTTTCAGACTTCTCATTTCTATAACTGGCTCTCTTATTTTCAAGTCTCTCTTTTCGTTTTTTAGCAGTTTCTTCAGACATCCTTTTTCTATAACTGTCTCTCTTATTTGCAAGTCTCTTTTTCGCTTTTCAGGAGTTTCTTCACACATTTTTTCTTATAAGTAGCTCTTTTATCCGCAAGTCTGCTTGCCCTCTCATTGGCTGTTTCTGTATATTTGACTCTTTTCAAGTAATTTCTGTGCTTGAGATGTCTACATTGTTTGTTTTCATTGGTTTCTGATAACTTTCTCTTTATGTATCTCAGTTTGTTTTTATGTTGACCATTTTTCTCAGTCACTGTTGAAACATAGTGGAACTCATTGATATATCCAATAAAAATTGTCTTCCGTCCTACCTGATCAGCAACAGGAGTTAGAATATACCTTCAGGTGAATCTATATTAGATTCTGTGATATGGATGACACAGTTATATGCATTAGCCACAGCTTGCATAATGATATTATCACACCATGTGCCTTGTTTTGACATTTGTCGAATATAGTTATTCCAGTGATCATCAGAAATACTTTCAATATATAATTCTGGGTAATTTTGTAAATGGTTAATTCCAGCCATACGAATTTCAAGGTGCAAGTCAGCAGTCCTATACAGTTGGTGTGAAACTGATTTAAAGAAGCAATCCCCACATCCACCTACATCATGTGGTATCAGTCCTATCAGACGAAGTCTTTCAGTCAAACGATTCAATGGCGTATCATTACTAACTGCATTCTCGAGAGACATGCCTCCCTTTAACCTTGAATTATCATTATGAAGTTGAGGAAAGGTATCACCTTTAAAATTCATTAAATTTTGCACATCATGATTATGTGTTTGTCTACAGCTACATGTACAATGCTTTTCTCTTGTTTTACATTTTTTTTTCTGTAACTTCATGTAAAAAACAAATTTACTATAAGAATGATCAGTGATATACCATATGTTCCAGGTTTTGTAATTTTTACACAAATCACTCATGAAAGAGCTGTCTGGAAGATGTTGCCTTACAAAAGACTGTATTCTTTTCCTGAACTTTCTCTTGTTTAGACCGTTTAGAATTCTCTTAACAGGAATTCGAGATGGTTCCCTATCCCTTTTCCTCAGACGCTTTTACTGTTTTCTTACCAGATTCAACTTTCTCAGAAATAGTTACACTATAATCATTAATGTGCTTCTCATTTTTCTTACAGTTACGAATTGTTAAAGCCTCATCATGATGTCCTGAACTACAATCAGCACTGATTAGCCCATGAACGATTAGTGGGTTGTTTAATAGCACAACAGTTGAATTCATTCGACGCTTCAGTTTACTAAATCGCCACCAGATACAAATATTCGGTTCATTTCGTTTTTGACCACAACAGGTCATTTGGCTCAATGGCCACCGAGCACAATCACTCGGTTCATTTGGTTTGTATTTGTGACCGCTATGGGTTAGAGTACAATTACCCGGTTGAGTTCCCGTTTTGTTCAGAAAAGTCGACATCAATTCACAGCAGGAGGACGACAGCAAAGGTGCTTGGTTTGTCGTTGCTCGGATGCCGACATCGGGCTTTACATATACTCTTGACGTAGTAAACACTTCCGTGATAAGGCTTTGACAATTAGTAACCATGAACTTTTTAAGAAACATCGCATTAAAGTTTGAAAAAATGAATTGAACTTACCAATGATGGTTGTATAACTATTCCTTCCGATCGACGCAAAGTCCGTTCGCACGAGGTAACTCGTTGAGAGCCCGCGACAATCTTGGAAAGGTTTTCAGCTAAAAATAGTTGCGTGCGCATAGTTCTTATTCAAAATTCAAAATGGCGCAGATTTTGCACATCGCCCGTCCACCCAAAAAATCTCGATTCTTCACGCCTGCGAAATCACGTGATAGGTGACCACAGGAACCCCATGTGACCACAGGAACCCCAAGTTTAGGACTGCGTTCTCCTATCGTCGAACGCAATAATCCTTGGAATGAAGGGAGAAAAGGTCTGATCCAACCCTACTCCAAGGTCTCTCTGGGATCTTGTGTGTCTGCATGGGCTGCTGTGGGTTAGCTGTTTGATATTCTGCACAATCTTCACACTTGGCCACTACTTCTTTAATGTGTGTGGTCATATTAGGCCAATAAATTTGGTCTCTAGCTTTCCTGAGGCATGCCTCTATTCCAAGATGACTAGAGTGTAAACGTGCTAACATCTCAGATCTCAGGGAGTGAGGGATGATAATTCACTGATTCTTAAAGAGAACTCCATAGTGCAGTGTCAATTCTTTGCGGAAATTCCAGTAGTCTCGGACTATTTGAGGAACTTGTTCTTTCGTGTCAGGCCATCCAATAAGAATAGTGTTCTTCAGTGCTTGCATAACAGGATCTTGTTCGGTGCCCTTCTGTAGTTGGGACAGCCTCTCACTTGTGATCTTGACGGTGTCTAGGGGGTTTATTTCTTCTAGCTCCAGCACAAAAACTTGAAACTCGTCCTTTGGCAGATCTTCTGTCTGCCTGAGGTACACTCTTGAGAGGTGGTCAGCAACGTACATTTGAGAACCTGGCTTGTATTTTATGTTAAGGTTGTAATGTTGAAGTCGTAACAGCATTCTCTGTAGTCTGCTTGGGGCAGTTAGCGAAGACTTTTTGAAGATGGACTGCAGTGGTTTGTGGTCAGTCTCAACTGTAATGGCTGCTCTTTTTGTAATGTACTGGCTGAACTTGGTGCATGCAAAGACGATTGCCAGACATTCCTTTTCAATTTGAGCGTAACGCTGTTCTACTTAAGAGAGAGTTTGTGAGGCAAATGCTACAGGCTGCCCATTCTGAAGCAGTGTTGTGCCAAGTCCTTTTTCGCTGGCGTCACACTGTATGGTTACTTCTTCTGTCATGTCATAGTACTTAAGCACTGGGTGCCTTGTAACGAGTGTCTTGATTTCCTCGAAGGCTTCATCATGCTGCTTTGACTAAACGAAGCTTCTATTCTTGGTAGTCAGCTCACTTACTGGGTGTGCAATCTCTGACAGCCTTGATAGGAACTTGGCGAGATAATTAACAAACCCTAGTAAACTGAGGGTTTGTTGCTTGCATGTTGGCTTAGGCATTTTGCTGACAGCTTGTATTTTATCTGGGTCAGGCTTGAGACCTTCGCTGGTGAGAACGTAACCCATGACTTCTGACTTTCGAAGGTTAAGCTTCTTGCTGTTAAACTTTAGGTTTACTTTGCGTGCTCTTTGAAGTAGCCTTATCAGGTTGGCGTCATGGTTTGCATTGGCTTCCTTTATGGTATCACCTGATCCTGAGACCAATATGTCGTCTCTCAAGACGTCTACTCCTTTTAGGTTGCTGAGGTGTTCTTGTAATTTGCATTCAAATTCCTCTGGGGCTGCATTGACTCCAAATGGCATCCGAAGATATCGGTATCCGCCAAAGGGCGTCCATAATGTTGTAAGCTTGCTGCTCCTTTTGTCTAGTGTTATTTGGTAGAAGCCGTCCTTGGCGTCAAGTGAACACTTTGGCTTTACTCAGTTTGGGAGGACTTTTTCAAGTGTAGGCAACTGTTATTTAGGTCTTCTTATGCCTTTGTTTAGATCTTTGAGGTCCAGGCAGATTCTGATCTTCCCTGGTTTGGCAAGGACCACCATGCTGCTGATCCAGTCAGTAGGTTCAGTTTCTTTTACTAGGATGTTTTTCTTTTCAAGCTTTTCTAACTTGGCTTTAACTTCTTTGTGAAGCGTGACTACAATGCGTCGGGGTACATGATGCACTGGCGTGACTTCCGGGTCGACTGTAAAACTTGCTTTATGCCTTTTCTCCCCTATAAATTATTTGCACAACCCAAAAATGCTGCCTTGCCTAAGCTATGTTTACTGGGCAAAAATATAACCAATCAACATGCGAGGTGAAGCTGTTCAAAGATAATTGCTACGTATGGCTTCATTGTATCGATTTGGAAAGCCGATTCGAGCTTACAGTCAAAAGCTTTCCACTTTTGAAGGTCAAGCTTGTTTACGGCCACTTTTCTTTCATGTGGGATTTGTCAGAATGAAGACTAGTAATATTTCCTCGGATGATGTGATGTCGAAATTAACTGGATTAAAATCGCCTTGTTGTATTGACGTGAAGTCAGGTGCCGTATTTGATGTGAGTATTTTTTCCTTTGTAAAGGGTTGAACCCAATTCGATAGCCTGCGTAGCAAGCGTTTCCAATCGAGTTATTGCGCGAAAGTTAGAGTGGAAGCAAAAAAAAGGTTGAAACGCTTGCCCGCAAACCCCACGATTCTGGAAAACGCCCCTTGATATTTCACGGTTCGGTTCATTTGTAAATTGACAGCTCGTCAAAATAGAAACATAACGAACAGATTACCCCTGGATTACCAGATTGGTAAAATTATTACTTTGTTCTCTAATAGAACATGTTGCAGGTGATTGCAAGAACTGTAATAAAAAAGATTTACGATAAAAGAAGGTTAAAACTATGAGCGATTGGCGCGGAATTTTTTGTTTTTTATTGTGTGGCTCTATCTCGTCTGAAACCTTGTCGACACGTGAAAAATGATTTGCCCGGAACAATTCACTCCGCCGGGTATAAGTTTTGCAGAGCGGCTGCTCTTCAACCTGTGTCAAAACGTTCTCTACAATAGGTGCCGCTAAATTTCCAATAAACAAAAAGAATATTTTCATTTCAAAAAGCTGACAAATCGCTTGTCCATGGCGGCTTTAGCTAGTGTCGAGTACCGATGTTCTGATATATGTTGATGTTATCTCCAACAAACAGTCCATTTTTTCCAGTCAGATCCGCACGCCGTCATTCTCAATAAATTGGCCTTCCCTAGTCTCCACTGCTCGATCTCCAGTTATACTTTGAAGACTCTAATCTCATAAACCTTCGCACAAACACGACTCCAATAAATATCAGTCCAAAGCATTTGTAATCTGCGAGCACAAATCAGATGAGACCAGATCTGTGACGCACAAAAACAAAGCATACCTGGTTTGATTCAAACTAGCCTAAAAAAATGCAAGGAAAGATAATTGGAAAAAGAAAAAATCGATCTCCGTTTACAATTCGAACCCACAAACGTTCGAGATGAGAACGCTATTGTTGTTCAAGAAAGTTTTTCTACAGGAGAAGCAGGCTGGCAATCAATTGGATACATTTCTGCTGTTAAAGTCCCCAAAGTCACTATCGCTATAAGAAAGCGAGAAGTAAGACTTGTCACCCTTAAAACTGTATTATTTTTATCAATTTGTTTTTGACATTGGGCAAAAAAAATATTTTCCTGCAATTTCAGTGTCTAAGATTGGCAGGTGGCCCCCTAACAAAAAAGACTACAGGTACAATGACAAAATTTAGGTTTTGAAATAATAATTGAAAACTATTTTCTATTTTTATTGACTGAATGAAAGGGGATATTAATTTATGTGTTTTCATATTTTATATGTAGAACATTTCAATTTCAATCAAAACAGGTTTTGCAGCCTAGTTGTCACAAGGTACAAAACCAGCATCCAGGGATGCAAACAGTGTTAAAATGAGGAAAACAAAAGAGAGAGCATCTGCTACTTTTCAAAGTTTACTGCGAAATTTGCCTGCAAGCAGGGAGGTTTTGTACCATGTGATTGTTAACCTGCAAAGGAGCCATAGTTTAGTGTTTAAAGATCTTTGTGACCAGGTGTAAGAGTTGAACAACTCAGGCTACCTATTTGAACAGTTTCATCATGTTGCATCTAGTTCCCATCTAATTCACTGTTATTAGTAAGCAACAATAAGAGTTGTGTCACGTTCTTGTTTAGAAACCAAATTTGTGTTCCTTGTACCTTTTATTCAACCAAGGTAAAACATAATGCAGAGTCGTGTTGATATTGATTGTGTCATATTAAATTATAATGATTATTGAAAATGAATTAGTTATTTCACATAAGCTTATTTACATAAATCCAAAAACATATTTTGCTGAGGTGAAAAGCTATAATCTGTATGCATGTCTCTGAAAACACTAACCCTTCCACTCCAACCAATGGCTATAATAAAGAATTCTCATTAATAAAAAGATTCAAGGAGATGGAACTGAACATAATTCTTGCCTTAATTTTCAATTTTAACGCTGAACAAATATTTCTGTAGATTTAATAAATTGTTGAAGTTCTTGAATTTGAGAAAATTGGGCTGACATAACTGTGTTTAGGGGTGGAAGGTTTAAATCTTTTGAACGAATCTCATTTGTTTACTTGAAATAGTATTTTGCATTAAAACTAATAATATTAACAACGTACTTATCACCACAACAAAAATGCTTGTTTGCATTACAACACTAATAATGTTACCAAAAACTATTCAAAGATGGTGCTTTATTTGGTGTTTTATTTGAGCATGCAGCGAGGAAAAATTATGCCAGAAAAGTCACTTCTCATATATTATTTTTCCTGTTTGTTTTTTTGTCAGCATTTAGTATTACCTTTCTACCAAGGATCTGCTCAATGATCCTTTTAAAGCTATTTGTCATTGGTGATTAGATATGTGTGTAATCAGTTTGTTGTTACAATAATAAACTGATCAATAATATGTATTTAAAGTGAGGCCTACTCCATTGAAGGACAAATAAAAGCTTTATGTGAGGAATGTCATACATGCAATATTTTCTACAATGATCTGGCAGAATACTTTCTGGCTTGTGAAAAGATTGCCGGATACTTTTTTTGTGCCTAGATGGCAAGTGGGCATGTCCAGATACAAAGATAGAACTGTCTTCCCTTTGATTAATTGTCAGTCTGTGAAGACGTAAAGGATGTGTCCTCAAGTCCTGGTCTTCATCAATAGCAGGGCAATGGTCAAATGAAGGCAAATCTTCATCTGAATATCTCTCATTGAGGGTCCAATAATAAAATGGGAGGTCTCCATCCATTCTCTTTGTAAACTCTCTGTAGGAATAAATGGCTTGACTTATTTTTGGAGTAATTAACAACAAAGGTGAATAGGTTTGCATTGTTCTGTGTAAAAAACGAGCAGGAGTGTATTATCAGGTTTAAAAACTCAATGGGAAGCCGAGAATTTTAACGCTTGAATGAATGAAGTGAATGAGTCACAGCCAACATAATTTTTATTTTAATTCTTACCAGTTTGCATTTCCTCAAAATTATCAATCCCATTACGTTGATTTGCATGTAGACTTTGTGGCACACTACTCAGTGGTGGATCCAGGGGGAGGGGCTGGAGCCCTTTTATGAGCCTGAAATTTTTACATCAAAAGGATCTTATATCACCTTTTAACTGTCTAATGTTTTTAATGAATACGATTTGCATTTAGCCACTAAACTAAATTCCAGGGATATTAAAAAATGTTTTGTTTTTGGGTGCCCTCCTATGATCTGTATGTCTTTGCTCTCAAAGCAGTGTTACCTGTGCCAATGGTGACTGGCATTCACAGATTGAGAAACATGGTCATCTCTTTAAAAAGTAGTTCTTTTCCTCTTATGGGGCGGGTAAACTGCGGAAATTTGATTTCATTTGAATGGAATTGTATTGTGGAGTCAATTAACTGTTCATTAAGCAACACCACCACCACCCCTCCCCCGGATGTCCTGGTAAATATTTTAATACTTTCACCTCACTCCCTTCGGCCAGTACTCTTTAAATTGCTTCAAGATGAATACATTTCCCAGGTCTCTATGTGTAATGCTGTAAAACGTTTCCAAGTCATCTGTGACAGCAGCTCGAGGGTGTTCTGCACAACCCAATTCTTTGTTCAGCAGCCTTCTCCTTTCCTGACTCTCAATATTTGTGGTCACCTCTATTACAGTTTCCCCGGAAAACCCACGGATGTTTTCAACTGGCCTAAAAAAAATGACACTTCTTGAAGAATAATAGACAATAATAATAAATAAAATTATTATTATAATGATAATAATAATAAATTTATATATAGCTTGAGAAACAGCTGCCATTCTGCGATGCCACCACTAGTTTTCCATGAGTAATGACTGAGTGATGACTACAGTAATTGCAAACCGATTATGTTCACTACCCAGATCTGGGTAGTGCTTCTGGTTGGTTGAAGGAAATTTCCCTCGTGACACAACCTATCTTAGGCACTACCCAGATCTGGATAGTATAAAAACATTCATATCTTTGTACGCTATAGATAAAAGCGTAAGAAATAAGCGTTGAAAGGCCAAACACGACTCATAAGCTCGTGATAATGTGAAACGTGACCTTGAGAGTCAGCTTGAACAGTGGTTCTCTTTCTTTTTTCTCTCGCGCGAAGGTTACTAGCACTACACAGTCAAAGTTTAGAATGCTACACGTCTTGCACTGTGTAGTGCTAGTAACCTTCGCGCGAGAGAAAAAAGAAAGAGAACCACTGTTCAAGCAGACTCTCAAGGTCACGTTTCACATTATCACGAGCTTATGAGTCGTGTTTGGCCTGTCAACGCTTATTTCCTACAGTACTCACTAAATGTAAATTAACATTTTAACAAAGAAGCTGTGACCTAGTATTTCAATATTATTACCAGGTCACATTTAGAAATAAAACTAGTAAATATGTTTACGTGCGTAACCTTGTCAAATAATATCCTGGATTGCTATCCTTTCATAAACCAATCACCAAATAATCATTATTTTCTCACTCAACTTTATTTGGCTATTTCTCTTATAGAAATTCATATCTCTATTGGAATTTTGACATTGATTTATAACATGAAACCTGAGTTGACCTGAAATTTTTTTAAAAATACCTGTTGATATCGATTGTTGAGAAATCATAACTTGAATGATGCCATGGCATCCATTCATCAAGGATGAATGATAGCATGTGATAATAATTGTACCGGCATCTGGTTAGTTGGGATAAGCCACGACCATCTGAGGCTTCATGCCAGTTCACAAGAACCTTCACATATTCTGCCTCTCTGTTATGGCCATTCCTCTTAAGAGGCTCAACAACATGGTAGGATAAACGCCGCTCAGCATCTTTCAAACTTTGTTTGCGTTTTCCAATGAGTGCATCATGGGTGAGGCCACTTTGCGAGTCTTTCAAAACATCATCAAATGCCTCATAGTGAATACCATCATAGCCACCATTCCTCACATGCTGGACTATCCTTTTATAAATGTGATTGTGGTCACCACGATCGTGGTGCTGTTCACCAGGGTGTGGGTCGATTTCAGGCACATAAAGATGGTGAGCAAAATCAATTCCCTCCAGCTGTAATTCCTTTATTGTGTGGCTGTACATATATGTTGCCACAATGGACCTAAGCTTGTCCAAAAGAGACTCTGGTGTATTTTTGCGGAATGGGTATGGCTCATATCCATCTGGTAACAGGCCACCTCGTATGACAGTAACAGCATCTTCCAAGGTCATGCCCTCAGCAAACCTTAGGTTGTGCAGCCGCAGAATGACTTCCCCTGGGATAGCTGGGTGATTGGCAGCTGTTTGTGGTGTGCTATGCACATCCACTGCAAAAAGATTAACTTAATTACTAATAATATTGATGATTAGAAATACAACATAATACAAGATACAATATTTTCACCAGGTCCTCTGATTATGAATTTTTGATAGAGGGTCATACAAATCATTTCAACTGTCATTTGTCAACTACTGACAATTGCATTTGGGGAAATTAAAGCAAAATTATTAAAACAGACACCAAGATATTCCAAAAAATAAATGAAGTAACTGTCTTACTGTGGGTCGTTTTGAGCATTTCCAGCAATGTTGTTTTGCTCATCTTCTTTACTGCCTCCTTTACATCATGAATGAACTGCCAAGTATGCAGTGCCCTTGTTTCACCGCGTGTTCTCAAGGAACAGAAGTCTCCGTTTGACACCACACCTTAAATTGACAGAATGGTGTAAGTGCAAGTTAGTACATATAACTTGAGATGAGCCATGCATGCAGTTAGAGCTCTGCTAACTCTCCATCACCCTCCTAACTGGACAATTCACTGAGTAAGAAAGCGGTTTAGGATATGAAGTACATTGTAAGTAATTGTCACTTACAAGCGAGTCAGAGCCAAAAGGCATATCACCAAATGTTTTCTGGAATCATTACTGGGAATGCACCAATCAGCTACTGGCTGATTTTTTTTGTTGTCCCTCTAACATTCCCAGAAGTCTTTGATAAAGTTAACTTGGCCCATTTTCCTTCTCATTTCTAACAACCTACCTTTAAGTTAGTTGAGTTAAAATTTTATTTCCTGAGCTTACATCTATGAGATGCTATTAACAATAACTGAACATTAAAAGTTGCAAATAAAAAGTAACATGACCACGAGGAAGCCATCTAAATTTTTGGTATAATCAATACAAACTTACCTACAAGTTTAAGGCCTTTCTCTTTCATCTTCAATTTCATCACCTTGCCAAAATCACGGACGTATTGGTCCTTTAGCGTCTTGTATGGTATATACCTTATGGGAAAGGCATATGGCTTCTGCAACCTTCTCTCGTCAGATAACATAAACACCAGGACGTGTGATGCAGCTGTTCTTTTCTTTTTGAACAGGTTCCTTAGAAATTGATCAACTTTCAGATCTTTAACAATAGCTGTGGCCTGCAGAAATAACCTGTTAGTACATGTGGTAGGGTTGAGGGAGGCAAGCACAGTTTTGGTGCTGAGAGATTGCGCCTGTTGAAGAAGAGTCTGGTGCTCCACCACTTCCCAATTAGCATTCTTCAAGGATTGTTCAGATGTAGTGTTGTTGTTGTACTTCTTTCTGTAGTCTTCCACTGCATTATTCAGCCCAGCAACTAAGAAGTCCCTGTCCACTTCTAACTCATCCAACCGTTTTTGTAATGCTTCCTCTGATTCTCTTCTTTCTCTTGCCTTCTGCATCAGCTTAAATGACTGCACCCTTGTTTCATATTCTGACGGCAGCTCCTTCAATTTCCCATCACCCAAGTCAACATCGCCATTCCAAACCCCCTTCACAGATTCCATCAGACACTCTTTCATATCGGTAGCATCCAACTTTAACCAAAACCGCCGATCAGGGTTTGCTGCTTTCAGTCCATCTAATGCTGCTTCCTGAAAGGGATGCAATTTGAAATGAACAATGTACCTATTGTTTATCATTTGGCTTACATGACCACTTAAAGAATATATAGGACATCAGGTGGATTACCCAGCGTGCAAAGAAAATAGTGTCCAATAGCCCAGGGCTAGTGGATTTTGCTATCGGGCTAGTCAATTCTGTTTTTAACTTGCCCGATGGGCAAGTGATGTTTTTTGAGGAATTTGAATAACACAAGAACTGTGAAATCAATTCTACTCTTGAAAAAGCTTTTAGGGCTAGTTGAAATGATGTCTTGGCTAGTAAATGCTAGCTTCAGCTTGCCAGAATGGCAAGCTATAAAAATGATTTTCTTTACATCTGTGGTCTGCGTGAAGGGTGACAATTGTCTTTCCTCCATTGAGTAGTTATGCTCCTGCACGGTACGTTGGTCTTTGCTTAAATCCAAGAAAACCAAAATTAGTGTTACAACAATATTAATCATCCTTCATTGTATTGACAAGGATGCAACCCACTGTTGTAGCCCTGGAGTGTCTAGTGTGGGAAAGGGAAAAAATCTTGAGGTGATATGAAAATTCAAACATACAACTTCCAATTCCAGGTGGGCACACCATCCAACAAAGCTTTGTAGAAACTGGTTGGTGCAAGGTACATTGAAAACTTGTGTTAATAACAATCATTTTAGAAAGGTAGCAACAGATAATTAGAATCCATAATTACCTCATACATGTGTTACTCATCCACTCATACACACAAGTTAGTTCCTTCACAGTTAGAACTTACAATTAAAAGCAAAGAAAGAGTCAAAGACTATAATAAAAAATGAATACCAGGGAATCTTACCTTCAAAGGGTTGCACAAATCGTCTTTGGCAGAGCCACTCACACATCTGACCAGCAAACGGACACTGAAATCTGGTTGGGAATTCAGTTAGCATTGTCTCATGCCAAATTCTATAGTCATCTGGGACAGTCAGCTGTAAGAATAATTACAAAAAAATTGACAATACAAAAATGTTAATCCCTTTCACCTTAGGTATGTTTTAGCTTTCTATTTCTTTCTCAATATGTCTCTATAGCTTGGGTGATTTATTTTCCCAATTCCAGACATGTGATGTGCCCATGTACATCGTCATTGTAGTTGTTTCAGGTCCCTATTAAATTGGATAGCATAGCATGTACAAGCTAATTATTTTCATTTAATCTAGGGTAATACTTTAAAAACTATTGAAAGAACTTCAGCAACATAAACAAGAAAAAAAAGATGTTGACCTCCCTAAAGTCATTAAATCTTGTTAGGTTATTAAAAGCAATACCACTTCACAGCACAATGAAGACAAAAACTGGCATGTACATTGCATGTGGATTGTCACTAGTGGGCAATACATGTAATAGTACTAACCTGCATAACGTTGGTGCTTGCAAAGAAGTCAATTATGTATTGCACCATTCCAAAGGGCATTCTCTTCAATGGAATAAGTGTGCCCGACCCATCAGGCCTTGGTTCACCAACAACTTTGCTCAAATTATAAATGGTGTTGGTTTTACCTAGGTCCTGAAGGGTTTTCATGCTTTTTAGAGACAAATGTGGGAAGTTAAGGACATTTGTCTCTATGCCCATCTTTTCTGCTGTAACTTGAAAACACTCATTCAGCACCAAAATACTGTCGCCTGCACTAGACACCTCAAACCACGATCAAATCAACTTGGTTACATGCGTTGTAACCCACTCCAACCGACGAAAACTGTTGGCCAATGCTTCTTTGATGTCTGTTTCCAATGTAGGTAGTTTTGAGAGAAGCTGCCAGGCCTCTTCTATTAACTCTTTTAGCTGAGATGGAGTCATATGTCCCATTTTCTCAATCAGGGACTGGCTGATATCTAGTGTGGCCGGAGGTTTTGCTCCCGCACTGGTATTGCTTTCATCCAAGTAGGACTCTAACGTAAGGCCATTAAGGGAGTCCTCTGTTTCCTCAAGTGTTTTAAATCTCTTTTTTATATCACAGAGGATATGTTGACGCACAGCAGCAGCTATAGGAAAAACAAAAAAAATTACTAGCCGAGTCTTGAAAATCTCCCTGCCTTGAGACCTTCATTTACAAGAAGTTTCCTATTATTATTTTCACACCTAACAGTGAAGAAAAATGTATTTAAGTGAATAAAAAGGTTTTACCGAGATGCCTAATTTCCATCATTGACAGATTATTAAGTCAAAGTGACAAATAAACCAGCCAAAACTAGGTCGAGGTTTTAAAGGGTTTATAAATTCCATGAATGTATACACATCTCATTTACAAAGTTTTAATTTTTTTTCGAGATATTAATAAGGGATGGACAGATAATTTTTGTCCAAACCAAACCACCATCTTTCACTGCTTCTTTACTTCAAACACACCTGATCTGGAGTGAGAGACAGATCGAACTGTCTCATTGAGGTACTTGGCTGCTTCACTCCAATATGTGTGTCTGGCTCCGAAAGAGGGCCAGATCATGGCTTCTGTGAGTAGGTCCTCATGAAGGGCAACGAACTGCACAAGTGCAGTATCCTCAGCCAGTGTCCAAGGGATTGGCCTCCTTCGTCGTATTGGCGTACTGGTTACCTTTATTGGAGAAACCCTTCGGGCTCTCTTTAACAAAGATTGAGCAGCCTATTAAAAAAAATCACATTAAGAGATTAGTAAAATTTCTTGTTTCCTGTTGTGATTTATAAAGCCCAGCTAATAATACAAAAATAACATGATCATGAATAATGTTCTAAAAAAAGGGGCTTACCAAAACTATTTCAATAGATCAAAAATGGATAGAAATACAAGATATAAAATTTGCATTACCCTTTGAGAGGGGCTTCTTGATTTCGGGATAGAGCTGGCCAACTTTGGGCTGGACGCAAATGCATGAGCAATGGAGCGCCTTGCTCTAGGTGTATCTGTGTTGCATGATGATTCTTGAGATCGGCACTTGCTCTCGGGTTTACCCGGAGAGTCTAACGTAGGTACATGACCACGTTTTAGACTTCCCTCGTCCATAACAAACAAACCTAAAAGGAACAATTCAGGACATCGGATGAATATTTCTAGTGATTTAGAAGGAATCCAAAATAAACCTAACGATACATACAAATATGTCTATTGCAAATCCATAAAACAAAGCATGTGGAAAAGGAACAAGATCATGCGGAATTTGCATCAGACAAAAGCACCGTCAATTCTTAACGGACCAAAATTTGTACGCTTTTCTTGATCGTCTATGGTTAAAACTAGAGAGGTCAAAAGAGGTCATGACCCGTTTTCTGAATATTCAGCCTTCACTTTCTGAAATGGAACTACCGTTGAGATTTATATTTGCATTAAACATTATGCAAATTAATAAAGAAAGGAACCACTCGACTGTAAACCCAAACACAAAGGCGCGCTATTGAAAAAGCGCTCTATTGTTTCATTGAATTCTTCATGCTTGACGACCATAAAGCGCTGAAAAAATAAAACTAACGAAAACTTGAAAGACAAATTCATAAAAACAAGGTAAAATCACTTACCTGGAGTATGCTAAAGTAGGCAAAATGGCAGGCTAAAAATCACTCATTACCGGAAAGACGACTGCCTTCAACCTGCCATTTTCATAACAAGCGTAACAAAATTGCACCAAAGCATGCTGGGATATATGCAAAATCCTCCTTTGGCTTCGTTCTTGCACGCTTTACATTCGTGCCCAATTACTGGACAGCTTTCCAGTGGATACCTCTGTTTTCTTCCACAGCGGTAGCATTGATAGCCCTTGTGTTTAGGATGCGTTTTTCGATGTTTCCTTTGGTCTGGTTATGCATCGTGTGTTTTTTTGCCATTAATAATAATAATAATGATAATAATAATGACGCTGTTACTCGTATTAAAATCGTGGATTAAAAGATTAAAATAATCTTTGAAAGGACTACAAACATTGCCTTTTAGGCAATCAAAAACAAATAAACAAGCCTTTTTCTTTAAAAAATTTTCAATTGAGGATAGACGGAGTTCACAGTTTAGACATTTTGAGTTTTGCAGAATAATCCTGTGACTAATCGTTGTTCCAGGTTTCTTATTTGGCACCTTCGTGTCTCTGACCAACCAAGCGTAATTTGACCGCAATAAGTAAATATGGGCATTATCATTGCTCTGTAGATTCGTTCAGCGCTTAAGATGTCAGTGTTAGAACGGATTTGTCGTAATAAATTCACTCTTCCTGCAGCTTTGTTGTATGTTTTGTAAAAGTGCATGTCAAGATTCAATGTAGGGTCCCGATAGACACCTAGATACTTGTAATTTGTAGTCGTGTCAATACGAGATCCATTTACTGAGAATTAGTTACCACACAAGAGAAGGCGCGAGATGTTTGGGGCAAAACAATGTTTATTGAAAACAGGCGAAAGAAGAAAATACCCCCCTGGGAGAGGAGGGAGGGTAAAACGATCAAGTAGAGACCACAAATGACCTTTGAGACGAAAAGTCATGTATAGAACGCAGAAGAAACCTGACACTGACGAAAACCATGCGAGGGGGTGTGTACCTAATTACGTGCTTTGACAAGCCAAAGCCAGCAAATTAGTTACCACACAAGAGAAGGCGCGAGATGTTTGGGGCAAAACAATGTTTATTGAAAACAGGCGAAAGAAGATAATACCCCAAACCCATAGAAATGAAAAGGAAAAAAAAATAGGGAGAAAAAAAAAAAATAGAAACTGTAACTCACAACCGAATGTGAGATAGTCGAGAAGAGATGGAGCGAAGAATGTCAAGTTTCTTTTGCGTGGATAATTTGAGATAGATTAAATAAGCGTCGCTCTGCCAATCACCTTGCGCTTTGATGAATTCAGTAGGCGCGCCGCAATTGAAAACAAAGGTTGCGCCACCTTGACGGAAACTGCGTGAGGAAAAATGATTGGGATCAAAACCCGTTGCGGACGCACAAGCTTTGAGAAACCGATTAAAATGAGCAGCAAGAAGAGGTTTGGCACTATTGGCCACGGGCACCATGAATAAAGGCGCGCTAAGTGGTGCTGGGACTAACGACAGATAAGCTTTGAGCGCAGCAACCGGGCACAAAATAGAATTAGGGCCAAGTCGCACTAGAGGGCAATTTTAGATTTGTTCTGGACAAATTCGACTTGAAATCGGCCAGTGACAAAAAAGTTGTCCGGAGAGCTACAGTCGCACTTAAGAGCAAAATCTGTGAGCGCCTTGTGGTTTCAGCCCACAGTTGAACTGAAAGCTTCTCCTCTTCTTTACTCCATCTGTCCTGAGTCTTCTTGTTCTCGGCTGACGAAGATGCAAGGGGCGAAGAAGATGGGGTTGATGCCGGCATTTCGCTGAACTGGAGGGATTCTGGCAACGAGTCAGTACTCGTGGTCGAAGGAAATGGGCTGGGATTTCCTCGATCATTAAACATGTAAGGGCCTGGCAAAGGATAGATCCATCCTGGTGGATATTGTGGATATTCGTACAGAAAAAATTGGTCGCCCGCACCGGGATTCATGTTGTTGCGAAATGAGAACGTGATTAATTTTACAACGAAGTTTATAGGATAGAGACTCTACTACATATCACCTGTCAAATCATTTCCGAATTAAAACACACTCGCTATTGTTTTCCAAAATTTGTCTCAATTTGGCCTGCTCCAGAGGTACTCGACGGCATCTTTGAAGTTTGTCCGTTTGCGACCAAATTTTGTCCTTTGGTGAACAAACCGGTCGCACTTGGTTTTTCATTGTGATGACAGATTTTTGACATAAATAAACAGTTTTGTCCTCTAGTGCGACTTGGCCCTTAGGAATAACAGGCAACGGAATTTGTAACACGCGCTGACAAAACTGGATGGTCTTGGTCTTGAAAATGCGCAAAACAGCACCGTGCGCGGAGAAAAAGACATCTTCGCGCTTCAAAAAATAAGTATTAACAGCAGCCATATCGGATGCTTTGTAAGGCACTAAATTAGAAATTCTGAGGAAGGAGAAAAAAGCCACTAAAAAGGCAGCGTGCATACAAACATGCAAAGGATTAGACCAATCAAAAATATGGAAAATATTGAGAAGCATATCAACAGTGACTGGGTGAGTGATATGCACAGAGTCGCCCATGACGCGACGAAGGGCCCGTAATGTGAGGAATGCATCATAATCGTGCATAAAAGAAAAATCCACCCCCAGTAACCTATTGATATGCTTAAGAATATTGATGTAATTAACAACTGAACGATAACAAGATAACGATTTTGATAGAAAGGCTAAATAAGCTAGAAATGACGGCTTCGACACCGGAAATGGAGAAAGGTTAAAATGTTCACAAAATAAAATGTAAGCGTTCAATTGAGTTCTCATGTTCCTTTTAGTAGACTCTTGGAAGGCACGAGACTGAAGCTGGAAGGCATAATCCAGTAAGAGCTCTGAATGCTCTGCAAAAAGAAAAAGCAGAGATAAAAAACTGTCTCAAGAGAAAAAAAAAATCAGACAACGGCGAATTCAAACAGGCTATCATCAACGTGACGCTGTGACAATTGAGGATTGGACCACCAGGAATGCAACTTGGTGCTAACTTCTCCGACATGAAATGTGCTGAGAGAATCGGCAAGCCAATTGTCCGAACCACGAACGGAACGAACAACCAGCTGGATGTTGAATAAAGCAAGTTGCAACCAGAGTTCCCGCAAACAACGCTGCATGAAAACATTGGTGGAGTATTGTGAATTGATAACCGCGACGCAAGTGGTGTTGTCTGACAGGAGTTCTACGCTGAGGCCCGCAAGCTTGAGAGACCAGAGCTTGATAGCAATGACGACAGTCAGAAGTTCCAGTGCATTGATATGTAGGCCCTTAGCCAAAATAAACTCCGGGAATTCGCGGTGGAAGTATTCTCCAAAACACACCGCTCCGCAACCGGTGAGACAAGCGTCTGTAGCGAACAACTCCGGATTGGAAATAACAACGTCGGAAGGAATAACCGAAACGCCATTGAAATGTGAGAGGAAAAACAACCACCAATCGATGTCGGAATGCAACTCATCAGTGACTGGAAAGGAAGCGCTCTTGGGACGAGAATGACAATAACGGAGAGCTCGGCCGGGGCGAACGCATGCAGACACGAATGAAAGTTTACCTAGCAACTGCTGAAGTTCTCGTCGTGAAAAGGAAGTTTTACACAGCCACTTTTGGAGTTCTTGTTGCAGTTCTGAGACGCAAAAGGCTGGAACAGATAAAGTCATGTCCAAGGTATCGATCCAGATACCAAGGCAAAGCATTTGATGACAGGGTGGTACGTCCTTTTCTGGCGAAGCTAGCAGACCAAGTTCGGTAAACAGGGAATTCATACGCTGGAAGGATTGGTTGGAACAACTAGGAGACTCTGCGCCGTAGAAATCGTCGATATAAACATCGACCGAAATTCCTTCATTGTTCAAAATATGCACAACGCTCTTAGTTGTACGCTGGCAGATCAGAGTTGCTGAGCGTAATCCAAACGGCAAAGAAGTGTGGAAATAGATAGAGCCATCGATGCACATGCCCAACAAACGATAATCCGCAGGATCGATTGGGATCCGCCTGTAAGCTCGCCGAAGGTCTTTCTTGAAAATATGACAACCGCGCGGCCTTTCGCATTGATAAATTCCACGAGTCGATCAATTCCGGGCAGACGCAGCTTAAAACTTTGATCCAAATAAGAGTCTTTGCTAATACCGTCATTAACGGAAAAACCCTCTGGAAAGCTCAAGTCGTGGACGATGCGCAGTTCATCTGAGTCACGCTTGGGGACGCACATAAGAGGGGAAACGACACAATCGGAATTAAACGGATTACAGTGAAAAGGCCCCATCACCGACTGATGGTCAAGTTCTTTTGCTATGTACAAAGTTAAACAGTTATCATTTGCAGCGGCAGAAGGATGATTACGGAGCGTGGAAAGTGGTAACACATGAGCGTGACAATTAATAGGCCAGCCATAACGCAAGAAATCAACTACGATTCTATCTTCATAATGTTCAAGATATTGAAACCAATAAT